TTAATCTGTCATAAAATTACTTCAGTTCCTTTTTTTTCATATAAATGTACACTAAGGGTCACTTAGTGATAATTTAATTTATAATTTATGACCTTTAAAAAAATTGATTTACCTTGTATAGTTAGTAATATACTAGGGTTCAAAACTCCGATAAAGAAAAACATAGATTTAAATGTCGGTAGCGTCACTAACGGCAACATATTTGAAGGCTCTGGGTAGTAAGTAGGTCGAGGAGACTGTGTCACTGAAAGTGAATGTGGCCCGCTCTTCAATTTCACTTGCGCGTCATGCGAATGATATGAATAAAATTTGCGGCTCTACCGATCTTTTACTTTAACTTGTAACCAAATTAATGTATAACAAGTCAATATATTTTTTTTACATATAGAATTCTTGTCCGTAACCCAGTGGAAAGAGGTTTTTCACAATTATTTTTTCAACAATTTTGGTAGTAATATAAAAGGAAATATTTAACTAAAATATAATATAGCAGACAGAAATAACATAATTTGTAGGAAAATTGATAAATAATTTCAGTATAGCGATATATTGATACATTAATTTAAAGAATTAATTAGAGCTTTGTAGTCTAATAAAGCTACATCCGACGCCATGATAATTTTAATTCGATTAATTATTAATTTATTTAAATCGTAAATAAATTTAATATTAAATTCTCGTGGATTAGGAAGTGAGTCGGCGATTATTTGTAATATAATGTTAATAAAATTCAGAATAGTAAAGTATATGAATGGATATATAAAACGTATGATCAATATCTTAATTTTGTATTTAACACCTATTATGTAAATTATATTATCGTAAACACATTTATTTACATTGAATATGTCAACTTATATCTTCCTAACAAAAGTTTGTAACTCAATATATAATAATACGTGTTAAAAAACTACGTATTTTAAAAATAAATCTTTGACTGATGTGTAATTTGTAGTAATTTGTTAAATTTCCTTGTTTAATTACGTTTCTGAACGTGTTAAGGATTGTGTTAAGTATATTAACGACTATTTGTTTTGTTTTCAGATAGTAAATTTAGTAGGTCAGCTGGGAGGCTGCGTGATGGTGCTCGGCAGGCTGAAGGTTGACATCGCTTGTGGGATATTGTTCTTTATCGTTGTACTGCAGGTCATTATTTACTATTTACTTGATGATGATTTGATCGATTGACAATTGATGTCAAGATATTAATTGTTTATTGTTTTTTCTACACCTAAATATTAGAGTATTAAATTATGTACGAATCGCTTAAAACATAGCAAAAATACTTAGATAAATTCGCTAATCCGGTTATAAATGTTAGAATGATAAATACAAATCGGAAAATTTTAAAGATATTGATAGCGGTCTGTCTGGGAATATAAATTAGTGCACCTTTGTTTTTTCCACTGATGCGTTCTTGGCGCGCGTTAATTGTATCCGAGTCAAATGTCGCAGAGATCGGTCAGGCCAAATGCGCATTCAGCTCTATATAAACAGATATGTAAATACGTCCCGACGACTGCGCCCTTCGGTAAGGTCGTTCAACTTGAAATGTCTGCCACGTTTTCTATTGCAAGGTCAAGTTCCGATTTTATCTCTTGTAATCTTGTATGAATGAATGCCGCCGTTCTGTTTACACAAACAAATGTAAAACTTACAACTCGTCAAAAACTTTTACTTCTATAAATAACCAGGCTATCGCTGTCTAATTGTCGCTAAAAGCAGTTTTCTATCACACTTAAAATGCTGGGCAAAGGCCTCATAAGGTTTCGTCCATAATTAAAAATAAAATAAAAAACTTTTCAGACATTCGCATATAGCATACTGTGGGATATGCAGTTCCTCCTACGTAACTTGGCACTGATCGGAGCCCTGCTGCTGGTGCTGGCGGAGGCACGTGCGGAGGGACGCAGCTTGTTCGCGGGCGTACCCAGCCTCGGCGAGAACAAGCCCAAGACATACCTGCAGCTCGCCGGACGCATACTGCTCGCCTTCATGTTCATCACCCTACTTAGGTTCGAAGTGTCCTTCTTGCAGGTAAGATGGCAATATGTTATGTCTCTTTAACCCCTACTAATTTCACCGTCAGGTAATAAATGTCCCCATTGAGGACTCGGCCTACCAACTTACCTACAAAGTCTACCAAGTTTGAGGTGACTGTCATAGTCAACATTGTCTTCTTTTGCCTAATTTGTTATCATTATAGTTTAATTCACCTTCATCAGAGATTATTTGGGTTTGCATTTACAAAACATTCATTAAAACATGTTGTGGTCTCCTCTTTTCATCGTAAAGGGTGAATATGGGTTTTATATTTGCCGAGACCAAAAATAAATGTCTGACGTATATAGGGCATCTATAAATAAACCTGTAGAAACTCATTGTTCCGGAATAATGTCAATTGACATTTTTAATATTCACTGGTTCGTAAATAATTGTATGGGCGTTTATATTTCCATTATATGAATTATGTATGCTCATATTATTTGAAATACCGTGATATTTATATAATGAGATATTTTATTGAACAGTAAATATATAAATAATAAATTGATTTTGCAAATTAAAATTATATTGTAAAAAAAATAAATAATTTAGATGTATACGTAATAGTGGTAAAATAACTTGTAATTTTAATTTCTTTTTTTGCTATATACATGTTATAGCTTTATAATGTAAGGAAGCGTAATTTTGCATATCAGACTATTTAGTTATAAATAAATATTAGCATGTAGAAATTTATTGCTTTGTATTTTATATTAGCTCTGTTTAATGCTTACATAACTTAGGGTCATATAAATCACAAATATGTAACAACAAAGTTGTGTTTGTACTTATATGTTTGTATTTGTTTGTGAATCTTGTAGTGAGAATAAATAAATATTATTATTATTATTATTATTATATATCAATCAAAATCCAATTTATTAGTAATTTAGTTGTAAATTTTCTAAATTTTAATTATTTTGTTTTGTATATATTTGTGTACGTTCTATATGCTGTACTGACACTAATGCAAAAGAAAATTGTAATTAAAAAAAAAGACGGTTAGTTTTTTGATACTGATTAACTTTAATATATAATATTTCAACACATGCAATTGAGTTACAATCTTCTTTTTTGGCACAATCTAGCAGACTATTGTATTACAAAGACATAAATTCAGTGTTATTTGATTGTTGCAGATAATCCAGGACTTGCTGGGCAGCATCCTGATGATCCTGGTTACAGTGGGATACCGCACTAAGTTGTCTGCACTGATGCTGGTGTTGGTGCTCACTGTGCTCAACCTGTACCACAATGCGTGGTGGGCGGTGCCCTCCTACAAGCCGCTTAGGGATTTCCTCAAATATGACTTCTTCCAGGTATGTTCCTTCATAATATGGATTGTTTTAAAGTTAATTATGAATTTTGGTGATTTTTTTTTGTAAACAAACAGAAGACATTTTAATTTTGATGGAACCCTAGATAAAATTATCAAATAATATAGAAATTATGTATTAATTCGTACTACAGTAATACAGCTTTATGACTACAGGTACAGTTTTGTAGTCAAGTTTGAATACTTTGGCAATTAACAGAACAAATTACGATTAAAATATTTGAAGGAAAGTACTTATAAATGATATGCTTGTTTTCCAGACCCTATCAGTAATCGGAGGTCTCCTGATGATAGTGTACTTGGGGCCCGGCGGTGTCAGTATGGACGAGCATAAGAAAAAGTGGTAAAATTGATCTCTACGGGAGCTCAGTGCAATGACATTTGATATTATATGTAAGGTTGTTATTTGGTGCCGTGGCTCTAACGATGATAATTCTCTGGTGTTGTGTAAATACGAGAAATGTACAGCAGTTTGTTGTATGACTGCTTCATAAATATTTGAAAAAAATTATATCGATTGCACTATAATGTAAGCACAATTTTTCTTTTCATTTATAATTTTTTCTTGTTTAATGTCGTACATATTTGTTTATAGAAAATAATTATTAAATAATTGGATTTGTTATGTGTATACATTGTTTAAAATTTTATACAACACAGTTGGACAATTATTTGTAAATAAAAGACAAAATTCTAATGATTTGTGTAGATTTTAATTTCATCCTGAATCAGGTTATTTTTTTTACCGTTACTATTAAATGATCTAATAATTATTCAATAGTTTATATTAAATGCAATTTATACTTATGTATACACATACAAAATCTTTTAAATTCTATAAAAATAAAATTTCGTACCATAGACAATTTATATTTTTTTTGAATATGTATAGGAAACTTAATTGAATCGTATATTATTTAATAACTATTTGTCAACTTTATATAAACTAATTCTGTTTTTATGACAAGTATTGACAAATTTTCCTTTACAAATATGACAATTGGTGTTAAGTTCAAAATAAAATTACCAGCACATGTTTGAGACTGTTTCAAAAGGTATGATTTGACTGACCTGTAATATATTTGTTGTTAAAAATATATAAATGTATATATGTATGTATTGAATGGGCAATTTAGAAATATGACAAAAATATGTAAAGATTGTATTATTTGTTGAGCAGTGATATATACAGGACTCCATCTCTAGGTGTAAATGAATCTGACAGACTACAGTTTAAAAATTATCTCATTTCCTTATCATTCATATGTACATTCCAAAACTTTTAGAAGGTATTATGTCTGACAACTTTCTTCCACAGACTAGTTAATATCAAATTAATACTTTATTAAAAAACATAGAAGAGATTTAGAGATTTTGGTTCAATGTGCTTAGTAGTGTAATAATCTATTATAGTTGCTTTTTTTAGAAAAATTTATTTCGAAAAACAATATTTTTATAGTATTTTTTTTATTTAATAAACACAATATGGTCGTGACGAGTCAAATTCCTAAACGAAATAAATATTAAAAATCATCAAAAATGTTTTATTTTACCATCATATTAAAAAGAGAATATCAAATGTTTGCCACGTTGTTATTTTGTAAGTGAAAAAAACATCTTTTATATAACGGATATATTTGTAAAATATTTAAAAATAAATAAAATCCAACAACTACTTGTAAATGTTTTGTACCTACTGCTCCTTGGCTTTAGCATGTTGTATATCCTTATCCGCTATGTATTTGAACACTCTGTTGGCTAATCGTCTGTATTTCTCCGCATGTATGCTATCAGGTAATGCATATATTGCTGGCTTTCCGCTATTTATGCACTCTGACATATTGGCATCAACTTCAAAGCTCTCTATAATATCCAAACCCATCTCATTTGCTGTCTTCTTTGTTTCGTTGCCGAATATAAAATTCTTTGTGCCGCAATTTGAACACATTGCATGAGACATGTTCTCCACTAGGCCTACGATAGGAACTTTAAGCTTTTCGAACATATTTACACCGCGTTTTGTGACTTGCAGTGCGGCGGACTGAGGTGTTGTCACAACAATTGCACCTAGAGAAAAAGAAATAGAATAGATTCAAAGCCACAAATGTGACTACTTGAGTACATGAAGATGTGAAATTGTTTACTAAAATTATATCACTTTATCAGTCTTTTGTCTATCACAATATATTAATAGAAACTTTTAGGTTATGGGTATCTAAAGACTTACCATCTATTGGCAAATTCTGTGCAAGTGACAAATGCGTATCTCCCGTGCCCGGAGGCGTGTCGACAACGAGACAGTCTAGTGGGCCCCACGCCACATGCCTGGTCAGTCTGTCCAATGCTTGCATCACCATCAGCCCGCGCCACACCACCGCATTCTCACCGGAGACTAGTAAACCCATTGACATACTGGAAAACAAGTTACATAGAACATCATCCTCTAAAATTACATCGCACATTACAATGTTGTATATATTCAGTTTTTACCTTTGATGTGATCATAAGAATACTAACGCAAAATTTTTTTTTGTCATTGTGGCAATGGCATGAGTTAAAAATGATGAAATATTCAAATGAAACCATGAAATTGTTTTTAATAAAATAGCTTCAAAAAATGTACAATTGACATTGTTATACATAAGTGAATTGAAACACTTTTTTTTACTATTCAACTAAAATTTGAAGCCTGCATACATTTGCATGCATATAACCAAGATATCAAGCCATATTTATCTTTACTAAACTGATTGCCACACAGACTTCAAGTAATGATGCAGGGATTTACAATAAATTTATCATGAAATGTACATTAAGGGTCTAGTTAAATAATATATTTTCATATAAAAAGTACAGTGAAAACACCAAGGTTATGAAAGACATCTATGGACATCTGCAACACTCGAGGAACTTTTTTTTTTTTTTACGTTTTATAAGCCAGCGCTTGACCATGATCCCACCTGGTGAAGTGGAGACTTGGTCGAAAGATGGTACGCGCTAGCTTAGTATGTGCCTTCATATGTATTGTGGCCATTTAGATAGAGATACACTCACTTCATGAATGCCTGGGCGCAGCAAAATAGTTGCAGTGTTTTTGAATTGCCAAAATAATTACTTCTTTACATAAACAATCATACCATTTAACTCCATAGTTAAGCAGGGGCTCAATAAGGTGGTTATCATTCAGCATGGGCTCCCCACTGATGTTCATCATGAGAGGTACAGACGGTCCAAACACATCAGCGTCTAATAGACCTATCTCTTTGTCCGGCTCTATCACCTTCATTGCACATGCTAGATTTACTGAAAAGCAAATCAAAATTCTTAAATAACATACTTTAATATTTATTTCTTTCTTCTATTTCCACACACATACCAGCAGTTGTTGTTTTTCCGACCCCTCCTTTACCAGATGCGACAAGAATGATACTTTTAACACCAGGCAAGGGTTTCTTTTCTGGCAAGCCTCGGGCCATTACTTTCTTTTTGTGTTCTTCTAGATCATTTTTATCGTGTTTTAATCGAATGGATAAAATAGAGAAAACCTGCAATTACATTATAAATATGAAATATCTCTCTCAGGAACGATTTGTAACAAAACAACATTTAATCGATTAATTTTAAAGGATTACTTACATTTTTGGTGTTTGTCAGTAAAGGTTGCGCACAAACTTTGTTTATAATTCTTTGCAGATTCATCTTGAAGATTCTGTGACTTTAAAATTATTTTTTTATTTATGTTATGTCAATTGCAATTTGCATATCAATATTCACAATACAATTAATCTAGAGCACTTCGCTTCGCAAAACACTAGTGTCAATTGTCAACGTCAAACAAAGTATAATTTGACATTTTTTTGAAATTGATTTGCCTAAAGGCAAGTGATCCTGCAGCCAAGCAAGTAATTTTTTTTACCTTTTATCTACCATATACTTCCCTTTAGAAAGCCCGACATCCTAACTTTTCAAATTAAGTTTATGTTGATAATTTGTTTACCAAAATAACATAACCTAAAGTTTTAAAAAACTGGCTTACGAAATGCAAATTTTTCTATTGGACGTAGAGATGAATTGTCAATGTCGCAGTATTCTATTTGAAATTAAAAATCAAACTGTCATCTGTCATGTGCGGCTCTTTTCTATATTTTTCGACGATGTATTTTGCCAGAGCGCGTATTTCGTGAATTTTCCTAGGAATACAAAGTTGTTACTAATTGTATTAAAATGGCTATTTGCTTGCGTACAATTACAAACAAGGTTTTACCTATAAATGGCATTTTTTCAACAAGAAATCATTCCAACCGGTTGTCCCGAAAAATACCAGTGCGCACAGAATTTTTGGAAGATGTTAGTATTTGTTAGCAATTAAAGTTATTAATTCTTTAATAAGTTTCCTTAATTTTGATTCAAAGTTACTTTAATTATATAACAAATTTCCCTATAAGACTGTGTTCTTTGGTTATAAGTGACCTCGAACTGATAGCAAAAATGTATTTCTTTTTAGTTCCTGGATCATCGTCGCATCTCCAGCTGCCAATATGCGGTGAAATGTGTAACAGAAACTAACGACCCTTTTGATCTTGCCGCGGCAAATTTAGTACTCTATCCGAAAAGCTCTACAAAGCTTGAAGCGACCAATACAGATGTTAAAAAAGTTGGTTATGAAATAGAAAATAATTGTCTAGGAATGAAGTCATTTGCTTTGACCTCTGATGATTACATAGAGCAGAGAGCTGTTCCATATAACTTTAATGACGTACCATATAGCTTAAACAACTTTGACTTTAGTAAATACAATGAGGTGAGTTTAATCATTTAAAAATAATTCTTGTAACTTAATACAGCAGTTTGCAATATCAGAATAATAAATATTAATATACTCAAACCCATACTGTTTAAATTTATGAGACATTATTATAGCTACACTCACATACTCTACATCTGGTTTAGCACCAACAAATTTGAAGCCTACCTGGGGCTCTTCTTTAGTTTGATAGGGTCTGTAATAAGAGATGCACCCTGTTCAAAAGCTCCTGATGGTCTCGAAATGGTGCCAATGTGTATGAAGTGTATGGGAGTGTAAACATTTTAGTTTAGATATACCTTTATATTAAAATATAAGTTCTAAGAAACATGTTATCTGAGCCATTTATTACAATTAACTATTTTGTACAGGATGTAGAACCCACCTGCTTTTCGGAGTTTGAGAGAGATGCAGTGGCATACTGTGCCGCAACAACCACATCAATGACAAAAGCACAATCTTCCAGTGAGGGGAACAGAGATGGGAAACCCAGTGAAGAGCAGCTGACTAAAGTCTTCAATGTGCTGTCCACAACTGTAAGTTTACAAAACAATTATTATTTTTTAATTACTGCAATTTTATAGCCTGGCTATGGAAGGTAGATTTAGAGCATATTTTTTATGTTTACAGCATATGCTGTTGGTATTAACTTTATTTTATATTCCTAAAAAATTTAACTATCTATAATTTTAAAAGTACAATTTTATTTTAAATCTGTGATATAAAAGTAATAATAAATATATTTAAGATTATATGTAATTATAGAAATAAGGATGTATAATAAATATGCACATTCATAGTCATAAATAACATAAATCAACATTTTATTTTTCTCCACTTGATTTCAATATATTTAAACAAATATGTACTCACAAAAACAAAAGATTATTTATATTCTACAAAATGTTTTTTAGGGTTCCATACCTTGAAAGGAAAAAAACGGAACCCTTTGTTGTCCGTCCATCTGTCTGTCGAGACCCAGGAATGGGTAAAGATATCAAGCTGGAATTTGTTTTATGTCATTACACACTTTTAAAATCTTGTCACTTATTTACTTTCAGATGCCAAATCTTTTTGTCAAACCATTGGATTACTCCATTTACCATCCAAATGTGATTTTTGTTAACAACATTAGAGGAAAAACCACAGTGTAAGTTAACATAATCAAGTTATTTATTATATTATTTTATTTTTTAAAATTAAAGTAATTTTTTAAGGAAAAATCAAATCTTAATAATACAAAGATTTATCTTTACAGAGGTTTATTTCACTATGTAAAGCAGATAGCACTTCTGCGTACCGTCGGCCATCTTAAGTTTGCATACGTTAATTTTGAAGTTTTAAAAATAACTGCTCATCCTGAAGATTCTTCTATTAAGTAAGTTCAAATCTTTTTTATTTTAACAATGATTTCATAACTAATTATTAACTATGTAACTTCATGTATCAAATTTAATGTTTATGGTTATTAAGGTGATTTATTTTTAAAAACCATACTATTTAACCTAAACTAACTTATGGTAGGTTCCGTGCCTTTGATGCAGACATATAGTGAGTTGATGACGATACTATTTTTCATATGTATTGCAGAATGAGATGGCGTATCCGTGGTATATCGGGTTTGAAAGTATTCTTTATGTTCTGGAGATATAAACTTTGGGATTTGAAAGCAGCATTCAAGGATCAAGAGATGTAAGTTTTGCATTAATACAAAATAAATTTTATAATAATTGTTTTCTACATTACAAATTCGTTTTTAGTGAGCATTGGAACTTAATTTCAATAATTAAACATACTGAATATCTTATTTTTATTACTTTTTTGTACAGGTGGTATGATGGTTTCTCTACATTTTATGTAGCGGGAGATGGTCTCATTCAGAAGCATGTAGCCGACAAGGTAATCATTTGTAACCAACATGAAATATTTCTAATAAAATCCACTTATATGTGTTATTGTTGTGTTAAATTAAAATTTTTATTAATTCCAGGTCATGCCAGATCAAGATACTATTATTGATGATGAAGAAAAGGCTCCAATTGCCGCAAAAATTGCTTTACTCATTGGACTTATTCCTAGAAATTATCTGTCCGATGTGTCGCCCTATTTCAGCTCATCGTCAGGCACAACAGACATGACCGTGTTGCCATTCAAAGTTCTTGAATAGATGATTTTATCATAAAATCAATAAATGTGATATGTTGAATAGTATTGTACGATTATGTAAACGAACGAAAATATCGAAAACATTACTACGATTTAGTTTGTCGTAGAATGTATACTAGTATTTATTACAATATCACTTTGCATATGAATTGCAAAGCTATGCTGTTTTGTTCAAAAACATTTAGTACCGTGATGTACCAACTTTGTGTCGTTTGTTATGATTTGAAATATTATTTAACTCACGAAGTTCGGATTAATTGCTTTAGTTGAGACAATCTATTTGTGAGTATTAGGTGTCGTTATTGCTTTGTAGTCTAGCTTATAGATGTTATGTATTATGATACAATAAACAATTATTAAATATGTGTTTTTTTTTCGTTTGTCACAATTATTTATCTACAAGAAATACTATTCACCTCAGTCAAAATTAATAATGTTTTTCTTTTTAATATCATCAGCGCAAATATTCAATTTAAAGTCCAAATTCTGTTTTTGGTGAAGACTTGTAATGACCATAACTAAACTCCGCAACAAACACTATCTCTATACTCTATGACAATTTATTGTCCGTGGTTAAAGTACGAAGTAGTAAAATACTCTTTGCTCTTGACTTGACTTTTTAGCTTCGACTTGACTTCGCACGATAAGATTTGTTGTCAAATATCTGGATAATAATGAAAAGCTCATGAAAATTTAAATTTTTATACAACAATATCTTTTAAAGTTAATTTGAAAAGATTTTTTACTTATATCAATTACTATTTTTAATTCAAATTTATAATTATTAAAGCGTGTCATAAGTAGCTCATTGATTACAATAAATTGGTGCTATTCGAAAGGATTTTTTTAAAGCGGGTGTATGTTTCATGTTCCGATGCCTGCTGTTATGACTACGGTAAGATAAATTTTCAAATGACTGTAATCTAAGATCATCTATGAAGGGTCATCGTTCGCATTAGAGCCTGGGTGGGAGGGAGCCAAAGAAGCAATTGTTTTAATTAATATTAGTAGCTACGCTGGGAGCACAGTGTTCGAGTGTACGCGAGTTTGTGTGCTCTCCCAATTTACAGCATGGAATTTTGCCAAGTCGGTCGCTGATGTTGTAATTTTACGAGTTATCTCTCTTTGAGATGTTAGGAAATATTGTGAGTAATACTATGTTAAAAGTGTTATAATTTTTAGAGTGGTTTGCCTTGTGCTATTTACTCCTAAACATCCTTAAGTGTTTCCATTGTCTAATACAGCACACATTCAGTATAATTGTGGTAAGTTTCAAACTTTTAAAGATCTTTTGTCTGTATTGTTACAATATAAAGAAAATTAGTTATTGATCTATTGTTTAGTTTAAACTAAAATATATTTGGTAGTATCTACACAATAGGTAAAAAGTAATTGGGCTACATTTCAGTTATTTTAGTCAAAAGATTTATCTACAGAATATTGAAGATAAATTTTATCAAAAGATCCAATGTAACAATACACCTCACTTGAATGTATAATTATTTGACTAGCATTCTATATTATCCATATGCTTTAATGAATAATACAACAGATGGATTTAGTTAATAATGCTGGATCATATATTATTTTTTATTAATATGAATAAAAAAAAATATTTGTATGATTATGAATTGTAAGATAGTTTATTTTTTTAACTGGTGGAACAACAGATTTTCCCCAAGTAACCCTACCCCTGTGTAGTAGGCCTACCCCTGTGGGTAGGAGGAGGAGATATTCAAAACATTGACATCCTATAATGTCTATAATGGATTTCAAAGTTTTGAGTTTTGTTATAATCTAATTAAAAGATTAATAAATGTAGGCTTTAGAACTCTATCTCATTTAATCAAATATTGGGTTGTTGTTAGAGTTCCCTTTATTTTTCATTTTCTTAAGCCTGGTGTAAACATGTGAATTGTTACATGAGCTTAATCTCTTAGGAAACCTTATAAACTCAAGTGTTTTGTAGGAAGCAACCCTAGTCTACCCTTATATTGGTCTTAATCCTTTACCCTCTTTAGTCAGTTTGGATACAATTTCATTTGATTTTTGCATTGGCTGACATATTTCATTTGTATTTTTATCAATATGAATCTGGATTTGATATGGTTAAGTTTAAAATATTGTCTATAAATATGTTATGAAAAATATTTTTAGGAAAAATTTTGAGTAGGAATTTAAAGACTTGTTATTTTGAGGAAAGATTATTTCATTTAATTGGGCAAAGGAGGAAGTTTAATCAATACTCCATTTAATTGTGCTTAATTAGGTCTTATCAGAATAGGATGTTGTTCATATTAAACAAACATAAATATTTGTTGCATTTATTTTCAGACTGGCCTAAATGGTATTGCATCTACAGTAGAATTGGAAGAGTTAGATTGCTGATATTGTTGGGCATTTCTCAAAGTCGTAAATACGAGAAAAGTTGTAGGATGGACATTTACTAGTGTACTACAAGTTTTAAACTGGAAAGAGGGTATTCTAATAAGATTATTCTTTTCAGGTGCTACACAGAAGACTGATAGAACATTAACAAGTGTAATATAAGAATGAGGTGAAGATGTCCAAGGTGCTGTCAGCATTGGGTGGCGCACTGCCTGACGAGCGGCCGCTCCTTTCATTGCAGATTGTGGAGAGTGTAGCCAAGTGCCCCACGGGATACTGGCCAGTCAGCAGAACATACGATGAAGATGCTGATGCAGGTCTTCTGCGCCAGAATGGACTGTTTGGCAAGAAACCAAGTCACTACATCTGCCTGTCCAAATCGGAAGGTAAGAAAATTATTATACTATAATGAATGCTACTCAACCAGGAGTCTATGTTATGTTAAACTAGTTAAAAGTCCAGTGCAAAAGGTGCTTAAACATTGAATCCCTCTTATATGGTTGTGGAACTGCCCACTATACTTTCTAAAAGTTCTAGCACACTTTTACCAATCAACATATTACACTATTCTAGTTTATTCATACTTTCATTAATATCATTGATGTGTATCATCGTTGTTTGACGTCTTTTTCTTTTTTTATAGTGGATTTAGGTCTATATATAATAAGTTATCTATTTCCTCCATATCAAATAACCTGCTGGCTATGCCTCTGTTGTTGTCGGTCGATAAGATAATTTGTTATGATATTTGATGACAATTGTGGTACATTCATCTTGCAGGATGGAGTAATTGATAACTGCAGTCTATTCACTACTGACTAGTACTACACGCTTTTTAAAATGTCAGATATGGTTGAATTGTTTTATAAATTGTGCCTTAAAAAAACAGAAAATATTTTACTTTGATGTTTCTATTTATATGTGGTGATTAATTTTCCAGCATTTTCCTTATACTTCGTGGTTATTAGTTAAATGGTAAAATTAAGTGGTTTAGTTTATGTAGGCCTTATCCAAGGTCAAAATAACCTAGAAAGAATGCTTGCTATCTCGGTAGGGGTATTATCGCGCCCCCGGGTATAGAAGGTCAGCCATTTTGATTAATGGTATGGCTTCAAGAAGTATTTTCTTGTTACTATTTTTCGTATCTTTTTGAGTATTTTAGTTGACGTTTAGAAACAGGCACTTTTAAGTTTTGTTAAGATAAAGCGTCAAATACAATGTTTCTTTGTACTACTACGTTGCTTGTCGCTTAACAGAATGTCTTTATGAATTTAAGTGAATCACAATTAAATAAACTTTGGATGAATCAGACAGAACTAGGAACTTTGTCATTTTTAGAAATTACTGAATAACATTTATAAACATTGTATTATAAATTTTAAACTTTAAATTTTATATTAAATAAACAATCACAAAAAATGTACCTTCCTTATCTTATATATAAAATTCTCGTTTCACAATTTTCGTTCCCATAGTCCTCCGAAACGGCTTGACCGATTCTCATGAAATTTTGTGAGCATATTGAGTAGGTCTGACGATCGGACAACATCTATTTTTAATCCCGCGCGGACGGAGTCGCGGGCGACAGCTAGTATATTAAAAGAAATAGCTGTAATCGAGCTATACTCAAAGTAGACTTGAGAAAATATTAGACCAGACTCACACAAAACTAGCCCATAAAGAAATATTTTAAACTTTGGAAATTGTATGTGTACGTATAATGAATATTGTTTTTAACCTTAGGTCCATGACCGTTGCGTCATTCTTTTATAATAAATATCTTTTTTTTTCTGTATGACGTTGGTGTGGGGTTACCCTGTGTCTACATTGACCCAGCATGTACCGGACGGAAGGCAATTGTCGATATAATGAAAGTTAATGATGTCATCTCATAAAAAATACGCCTCGCTTTCATTAAGTCGTCTCGAAGGTCGACCATGTTTCTTGTGATCTAACGCAGTGTTCACATCGGACAAAGAAATGTTTTGTAATCATCGTGTGAATCTCTTTGTTTTTTTCTTTCTTCACATTTGTATGGTTAATTCTTTGATTTTACATTGAATGCAGTATTCTTGTAAAAGTAATATTATATATCTGACGTACTTTGTTACAAGCGATTTGTATATTTAATTCTTCGATAATCAACAATCACTTTTTCTGTTTAACCCAGCTGATCGTAAATATAGTTGGGGGTGAAATTATTCTGTTCATTGTAATTATTAAACATTTCCCTTCGGTTTCAAATCCAAATGTGGAAAAGATATAAAGTATATACATAAAAAAATTACCGTAGAATAATTTCAAAGGTGTTAATTTAAGAGCATATATCGTGATGTGAACACGACCCTTATGATAACGGCATTCGGTTTGGGCACAATGAACTGTCTTCGTCTCTCTCAATTATTTTTAGCTTTTACAGAATATTGGACGCAATAACGGGACACCCATGTTACTTATTCGCATTCGATTTGTTTTTTTCTTTCTATTTTACGCTCTCGAATACGCGGTCACTTACTTTATTACTAACTTCTATAACACTCAACAATTGGTACGAAGTTATCCGTACCAGGAAAGTATAGTCCATTTAAGTCAGTACACAATTCTCCATTGATATATTTGTGAATAGATTGTCGATGTCAGGGCTACAATTACAACTGGCTTTCGATCTGCGCCGAGCTAAATTAGTTATTTAAGGACGAGGTCGTTTGATGCCTGTGATCCGTAATTGTTCGCCATTGATAGTTACGTGCTTCAACGGTTACCTTGCTTCGTGCAAATCTTAGTACAATTTTTATTGATTTAATATCAACACACCATATTTATGTCTTTTTTTTCTAAGACATCATCATCATCAACCTGCCCTTATCCCTATCGAGGGTCGGCACAGTATGTACTACTCCTCCATACATCTATCAGCCGTCATATCCGAGTCTACCCCCTTCTTACGCATATCCTCTTTCACACAGTCATTCCATACTTTTTTGGTCTTCCCCTACCCTTGTAGCCATCCACATTCAATGTCATCTTTTTTTTCTAAGACTATTAGAGGAATTTGTATATATTTTTATACATTTGGAAACGGTATAACAACTTCGTGCTAATGTTATTACATCCTTCTAACTTTTCAAATCTGCGTGTCGCCTTAATTATTTTATATATTTTTTTGTACTTTTTCCGTTGGTCCATAAATTATAGTGTTGAATTGCTTAGAATTATCGCTAAGTAAAATATAATAATGCACCTAGCCGATATGAATAATTTAGGTACAAGCGGTGTGCTCCCTGCGTTCTGCGCCTTGCGCCCAGAGAGTCTATTGTTCTAATAAGTACGGCTGGGATATTCATTCAAGTCTTGATTATTCAATTACATCGCTATATAAAACCGGTCATTGGCGTGAGAGAAGACAATGAGCTCCGTACAGAGATGAACGACTTCTTTGTTTACATACCATTACCACTAAGAAAATGTTATGAAACCGAGTAATTTCACTTATCCCAAACGCGGGTTTTTTTTCGTAACAATTATTTCTAAAATACAAAACCTACATTTGAATAAAGTAAACAGCGCTATTGGTGAGTTTTCCTACTTTCTATCGTGTGTCAAGGTCGACAACAGGATTACTTTAAGTGACGACGATTAGGTAACACCGACCGTTGGACCTGTTTCCTATGGGATCTGGGAAATCTGCACTAATAAAATCTATTCAACGTCTCTGAGTGCTTCACTAAGGAGTTTGTTGTGTTAGGTGTGCCGGGGTACGTGATGGATGGCGTGCTGGTGGTGGGCGACCGCGAGGCGGCGCCGGCGGGCTACAGCGTGGCGGGGCGCGCGGGCAAGCGGCGGCTATGCACGCGTGTCTCGCGTCACGCCGCCGCCCACCACGCGCACCACGCGCCGCCCGTCACCGATGTCATCGTATGCTCCAAAATGCGACAGGCGCCTCGAGGGTTCCTGCTCGCTGGGTAAGTTCTCAACACCAAGAATAGTTACCGTCTAACATAGTATTCTGACTCTGACCAATAGTGATGTAGTGTCCACTCTAGATGCCTTCTTCGTCCCGCGAATCCTCAATACCGTTGTGGGCTACTATAGGGTTTTACTCGACACATGCGCCACATAAAATAAAGCATTTTTTCTTAAGTAAACAAGTAACGTCGCTTCTTCAAGTTTGTCATCTCGCTATTTAGACACTTTTATCTCTATACAACTTTTGTCAATGTCCATAGCCGTCGTGTACACTGGATAGATAAAAATTAAAAGTCCTTTGAACCTATGAGGTGAGGTACTAAAATCAATGTAAGACGACAAAGATTCGAGACAGTTGAATGAACTCTCTAACAAATCGCAGTATGTTTCAGACTGACTGACTTGACCTTGGTAAAATTACAATGTTCTCAAAGAAAACTTTGTTTGAAATTTCACTTCAATCTGTTTCTTTGTTGTCTTTATTTTTAGAATGGCTAAACGTGATATTTATGAATGTATAGTAAAGCATTTAAAAATGCTATTAAATTCGCAAACCTTGTCTGTGACGCTTACAATTGATCAAGGATAAATAAAACGTTGTAACTACAGTCACGTAGTGATGTCATGCAATGCTTATATCTCCTGTCTACAGACACGGAAATATTTGATTGCAATACGCATTCTTGTCGTTACATGTAAATTTGATGATCCAAAATGATCCAAAATATGTTTTTTTTTTGTCTTGTTCGAAATAAAATAGTGAATTTGAATAAAAAACATACAAAAATGTCTTAAATATTCATCTTATTATGTAGATATGAGTATCTACCTACTCATTTTAAATCGGAAAGACGACAAATTGTGAGCCTTTGATATGATTACATACGATTTTTCTTAGCAACTGAATCAAAGTTCTAATACGACATTGTTAGTCGACTTTTGTAGTCTATAAAGCTTGCTTTGTAAAATATAACTTATGGTAGGCTCCAAACCCCTACGTACGGACGTAGTGAGCTGATGATGATGATGATATCCTTGCTATTGGTTGGGGTATATGTTTAGTTAAATGAAGGTTATTTTGTTTTTAAATCAGTGAGATGAATGGCAAGATGGTGTGCTATAAAGTATGCGGCGGCAGCGCGGATACATCGCCCACTGGCGCGCCTAACGACTACGAGAACGTCGTCACCAACCTCACACCTGACGCTAACAGAAGGTAAAACACACTCATCAATTAAATCAAACTGCCTAAACTGTTATAAGAGGACACACTTGATGTTAAAATACCACAAGTATCATACATCGGCAAAAAAAAAAACTAGTCAAAAATAGTGTCGGAAAGATATTTTATTTCCGAATGAAGAAGTTTCATAGGTAGTGAATTAGGGGTTTTCTTATAATTTACTTATTTATATTTATTTCAGGTCAGTATTCATCTAAAGTTTTTTATAGTTTGGAAAAGTTTTAATTAAAAAAAGATCGCCCAGTTTAATTTAATTCTATTGGTTACCAGCAAAAATGTTTATGCTCTTAATAAAAAAACTATTCGATATTTGTAAATAATCTTTTCAGTTCAGTGACTGTTAAACTGTATCAAGAGCTGAAATTACGATGGGATGGCTGCACTGGGTACTCGCGTTTGTTTGAATATTGTCATATTGCATGGGTTTCCTTCATATACCTTGAGTCTTGCATGATAATATATCTGATACATATAGTTAAAATACATAATCTTTAAGAACTTTTATGTTCGTTTGGTTTTATTTTTGAATTTGTAAAACATATTGATTACGACAAATATTTTTTTCAATGAAATATTTTGACTTTAAACTTCAATGTACAGTATATGCTAGTTGTATTTATATTTTGAGTGCAGTCACGTTTGCGTGTGTTGTGGTTATCATTTATACAAGTAAAATTTTATTATTAACAAGATGAATATTATTTTAGATTAACGTCCTTAAGGATATCTTTTCTTCTCTATTGAACTGGGTTAAAGCTACTGGTGAAGAAAGAGACGGAAGCATCTCACATTGCTCCGTCACCATAATATCAATCTTATAAAAATGTACATTATTAATTGTGGAACTATGTTTGATCAGGTTACGTCCAGCTCCCGAGCGTCCTCCCAAACTGTCTCCACTGATCAACGAACTCAACAATTTAAATCTAAAATCACCCAACTCGAGTATTGACGAATTAAAAACTGACCACGATTATGAAGCACTGAGTCCGTCGTACAATGTGAAGCCATCCAGACCAGCACCTATACAGCCACCTATTCCACCGCCGATCCAGCCCCCGAGGGCCATGTCGCCGCAGCAAGCCGCGAGGGCGAAGTCCCCGGTGGGCAGCCCCGGCCCCACCTCGCCCGCGGCGGTGGGCAGACGGAAAGGTCCCGCGCCCTTGCCCAGGGCCTCTAACTACCAGACCTTAGGTGGATATAATGGAATGGAAGGTGTTCCGTTTGTACTAAATCCTAAATTGAGAGGGTTACCTAGTGATGCATTGGTAAGTTACTTGTACTATTTTAGTCTATGATTTTCTTTCATAAATACTCACTAAATTGGCATTGGCATATATTTTGATGTAAAATAAACTAAAAAAATATTTACAGACGCAGTTGCCAGTTATAAAAAAGCGCTCTCGTTTCGATCTCGACCGTGACTACAGCTACAGTTTCGCTGTGGAGAGACAGACGTGAGCACATCTCTTGACGAAAGTACTATAACTGATTTTGTCAAATATTAGTAGAGCATCCGGATTAGTAGTTGGTTTTAAAACCCAATTTCTTCTTCATATATTATATTAGAATTTAAGTAGAAGCCTCATCGGTACTGTTTACCTTTTATTCTTTTTGGTATTTTAATTCCATTTTTTAATTGATGAAATTATTTCTAGACACATGCATTGTTAAAATGGCTGAATGACTCTTTGACTTTTGTCTTTATTTAAAAAGTTTAAAATTTACAAATAGGTTGCCATTACAATGTAATTAATTTATTGTTTATTTTAAATGTAAAAAAAATAAAGTTATATTTAGTTTACGACGATCATCTCTTATATTTTATTATTATTTAACTTTTAAACAAATTTATTTTTATTTTTAGCGCCATTTTGTTTACGCGGTATTCGAACGACGCGCGCGCAATTTGACATTAGAGTGAGTCTTGTTGTGACATAAATGGAATAAATATAATCTTAATGTCTTGAAAGCTTTTAAAAAGTTTTTGAATATTCCTTAACTATAGATATTTTGATTCAATTTATTCTAGGTTACAAATTAATATACAAATCCTGTTATTTCAAGTAATTAAATTATGTAATTTTTGTGTAATGTATTTTGCCATATTGCGAAAAATAAATGTGAGATTAATAAATATTTTACGTTAAGTTCCAATCCTATATTTTAGTTTTAAATTTGCAATTAAAAATGTCATATCGTATTGTAACAATAATTGACTGAGGAAGTGTTGTGTGTACTTTAGCGTAGTTTTCCATTGCTGATATTATTCATATGAAAATGATTTTTTTTATTTCTCTCTTTCTTTTCGCTCTTATAAATTTGAGATAACATTATGTTTTTGATGTCGATATTTCGGCAATGGAAACTTACGGTTAGATGGATCACGTGTGAGACTGATACACGAATTAAATATGGAAAGGAAGGAATATATTCCTTGTTAGGAAGTAGCTTGGACGGGTTACCTTATTCGTAACTAAATAACCTTACTTCAGCATAAGTTTTCAATTTCTAAGACTGTAAAACTTTTTCATACTTTTGTCTATCGTTATATTAAAATGGCCATGTTTTTTTTTGCAAGAAATGCAATTAATTTAGTCTTTCGTTTATGTGATTTTAAAAATTATTTGATAAGTTTTTTATGTAATTGGACAGATGTTCGTATTTCATATACATTTAGAAAGTAATGTTTTCTATTAAACTAAATATGTAAAGCAGTCTCAAAAAGTCTTCTCAATGGAGTTGAATCGAGTAAACACAATAAAACACTGTTTATATTTTGTTGCGAGTCAATTTTAATCAAATGCAATCGGCAGGTCGATATATATAAGAAATAAATTAATACCGCGATCTAGCAATACGGCCCGCCATCTATTGACATAATAATTTAAAATGTCATAACATTTGACAAATAAGTATAAATAATTTTATCGTTGCAGAATTTTATTAATTGGTACTATTTACTTAATACTATTTAATTTAATTATAAGTGATGCTGCCAATTTTACAATTCTACTGTCAATTAATTTTACATTTTTTATTTATAAATTTGTATACGTCTTATTGCAATAGATTAAAATATTGTGCCAATGCAAGTACAAGTTAAAAAAAATGAGTTACCGGATTTGTCTCAGGTTCTAGCAAGAAAAGTTACGAGAAAGTTTTCGTAAGGTTAACCCCTATCGGACGTAAAGTACGACAACAAATGTCATACAAATTTTGACGTATTTTGACGGAATCGTTATGAAAACGCATATCGTAAATATTCATGATAGTCTCTGATTGTTCAACTAGTCGAAGATCGATTTTAACTGTCGATATCATTACATTAGTAATACTGCCGAAAAACTTGTATTTAAACATGTTTCTGTTTTCAGTGAAAACGAGATAATGTTTTCTACAATTATATTTAATTGTCGAACAAAATGAAAGGCTGAATATCAATTTTGTTAAATCTAGCATGTCGATTTTTTTACTGATCTTGGGCAGTTGGATTTGTTTCAAACGTCTTTTTTTACAAGATATGATATTGAAATTTTTATTGTCAACTTTATGTATTATATTGTGTCGTTTTGAATGAATTTCGAAGGTTTTTTTGGGGTATTTTGAGTGAAAAATATAAAAGCTTATAAAATGTCGCTGCTCAAATCTTTTCACCTTTTAAATAATTGAATTCATCGTCAACATATTTCACTTGTTTGTGTGTGACTTTGGCATAAATATAGTAACTTTATTTAGCACATTTGCAAAGTCGTACTCTAAGTGTGTTTTTGTCGATTTTTCTCGCACAAAGTATCGTATGTACAAATTCAAAGTTGTGTACTAAGCGAATAGTTAAATGTCACAAAACTTGTAGCTCTTGAAATATTTGAGACGCAATTTTGATGAAAGCATATCGCTGAATAATTGCCGTAATAATAATTTTTAAGACAATATATTGTATATTATGTTGTCCTTAAGAAAACTGCATAATGTCCACTATTTATGTGTCTGAAGTTAGCTACAGAATATTGCAGAATCAAATTGGCACAAAATTTGATGTCTTATAGCCAGTTCATTTATAGAGATGCATGCGACCCGTGGAGACAACAATATATAGAACGAGAAATGCTAAAAAGAGACGGAATGTGTTTAATGTTTTTATCAATTTAGTATTTAACTTGTTGTTAACTTCAGATATGTGAAGAAATGTAGTGGATTCTATAGATATTATTACCTACTAGGAATAATTTTGTTTGGAATGCACGATGCAAACAGTTCTTGCTGCGTTCATATATTATTATCCGTTAATTTTATTGTTGACTAGCTAAATTAGGTTTATATCGTCGACTTGCTGTAAGGTTGCGTTCAAATGTGTGTTTGAAGTCGCAATGTAAATACGTTTAATGCAATTAGTTAATTAGAAATTACGCTTTTTTACATATTAGATACATTCGTATGTCGTCATTATTGTTTAGATTTATTAAGGGATAATAAATTTAAATTATTGACATTTTGTTGTTTTATTTATTTCAGCATAACTGTTATTCGGCATAGGTTTCGTTTATTTAATATTATACATGATTTAAATATTATAAAGGGTATTCGAAAAGGGAAACAACATTTTAACGTATAACAAAAATAACTTTATTACAAAATTACACAAAGTTTTCTTCAATTTACTTCTGCTTATGTTAGCAAAACATCTACAAGAACTTTCGCACAAAAACATCTAGAACAAAATTTGGTACGATAAGTAGTTATATGAGCACTAAGATCGTTTTACTATAAAGTAGATTCATTATAAAAGTTAGCTGCATTAAAAATTTTATATAAAAAACGTCTGTTCGTATTTATTAAAAACAATTCTTTTGTACTATTAAATTCCACTGTCGATATTTAAACATATCTTAATTGTGTACAGTGAAAACAGATATTAAATATTTTGGCATGTTAAAAGCGATTTAAAAATATCACACGGATATAGTTATCTCTCCTGTCAATAGTTTAGTAAATAACATTGAATAAATTCAATTTAATTTTAAAACTCACTTGACTAAGGTTTCCACGATTCTCTTTGCAAAAAAAAAACAGATAGACGTTTTGTATCAGCAGTGGAATTGCGCGGTGTAAGAAGATTTTCAGAAATATAATTTAAATTACAATAAATAAATATATTGCAACTGTTACTTGGCAAATAATTACTTATTCTCATTAATTATGATTAATTTTGAGAAATAAATATTTGTGATGTTTCACAATTGCTTTTGTCATACTTCGAGAATAACACTTTACAACTTTTAAATAAAAATTGTGATAGAAAAAATTAAATACGATTTAATTTACATATTACTCACAGTAATTACACTTGACGAAGTAATTACAAAAATATACAAACGCCTAAAATAAAAACAATTTTAATTGACATTTAAAAAAAAACAATTTACTATTTTTGGTTATGAAATTTTGTTACATATTTACATAAAATTTTAATACCAACATTGGAACTTTTAAGAATACTCCAAGACCAAGAACAATCACTCGTGAGTGAACGAGACGAACGCATACAGGAATAACGGTGTGTGAAAGAGAAAAAACCTGAGAAAAAACTGCAAGTCTTTCTTTTCAATCAATGTTTTATAAAAAAAACTAAATTCGGGACTGTAATATTACCACTAAAGATTTGAAAATTTCTCAGCAACACCCAAAAAATGCCGCTGAATGTTACTTCATATAAGGAAAATAAAATTTAAGAAATTTCCGTCGGCCAAACATTTTTTTCGACATTAAATTTCTTCATAACCAATAAAGATTTATTTTTACAACTTAAACAGTGCGACAGACACATCAAACAGTGTCACCATATAAGTTATATTTTTGGTAAGTTAAGTAGTACATGGTGCGTTCACTGCTTGGCCGGGGGCTGCATCTGCTTCTGTTGCTCCAGCAGCCGCTCCAATGGCGAGGGTCCGGGGCCCGACCACAGGGACTGCAAAAACACACTTCTAATTATAACCTTAACTAAAAGTAAGAAGAAATATACTCTCAACAACAATAAAGGCATAGTTCTTCAATAATGAACGCTACAAAACTTTTAATTAGAACTGTAGAATGAATTTATTATGCGATGTGGTGATAGTTACCTGATGCGGATGTCGCTGCGGCCAGGCGGCGGGCTCGGACGCGGCGCTGAACAACGAGTACGTGTTCCCCGCGCCGCCCGCACACACGCCCGCGGCGCCACTCTCGCTCACCTTAAATGACAACACCGTATATTAAAACATCAATGCGTATTATTTTAGGTGTTATATTTGAATAATTTCAATAATATTCTGACCTGGTCCAATGTATTAGCTGCGCCGACGTCCTGGTTCATGTTATTATAGTTAATATTTCTCTGCTGTAGATCTAAAACATTGCCACCGAAGTTAATCGCGTCGTCCACGTCCTTGCCGGGGTAAGGCTTGTCGAGTTTAAGGGTGTGCGGGGGCGGGGGCGGTGCCGCGGGGGGGAAGGCGAGCTTGTTGGCGAACTGCGGGTACATGGCGGCGTCGTATCCCACCCCCGCGCCCGCGCCCGCGCCCGCGCCGCCGCCGTACGACCCGAAGTTGTTCAGTGCGCCGCTGAAGTTAGGTGACGTCACCAGGTTTTGGAGCGTCGGCATTTGAGCCTGACCGATCGTTGCCTGCCAGTTAGGATTCACATTGTCAGGTTTCTGGGCCTGGTTCTGGTTGTAGGTCAGATTTAGGTAGGGATTTGGGGTGTTGGAAGTGATCGGAGACGGGGAATAGAAGTTTGGTTGGACGTTCATTGGGGCGGAGAAGTTCGCGTTGAAGACCTGCGAATTCTCCGGCTTCCACCAGGTCATCGGCTGCGGGTACTCCGGCTGGGGGGCGGGCCAGCTGCGCAGAGGCTGGGGCTCGAAGGTCGCGTTGTTTGTGAAGTTCTCATCTCTGAATTTGTTCTCGTTGGGCTGGGTGTCCGGCGCGTTGTGCCAGTAGCGGTACTGATTGGCGAAGCGCGGCGGCAGGTCGTTGAGGAAGTTCTTCTTGTCGCTGGACATCTGGTACACGTGATTGGCGAACTTGTGCCCCTCCTGGAAGAGCTCGGGGCGGGAGTTCTGCTTCTGCAGCGCCGCGGTCCTCACGTCTATCTCCTTCGGGTTGACGACGGGCAGTCGTATGCCCTGTCCGAAGCCTGGTGCGCTCTGGTAGTTGGGGTTGTAGCTGAGGCCTGCGCTCTGGATGCCGTAGGTCTTTTGGAAGCCGACGCGTGGTTCGTTGTACGGTGGGGTCTGAACGGTCCAGTTCTGCTGCGGATGGTCCTGCCATTTCTGTGGGTAACTCTGTTGGGAGTTTTGGTTCGTGTTGTTGTTGGGCTTGGGATCCTTTTTCTCGTCTTTTTCAGTTTTCTTAGGCGGTTCGGGGTCTGTGTTGACGAGGTGAGGGTAGCCGGCGGACTTGTCCTTAAGCGAGAGAATGCCGCCTGTCTTCCTGCCGAGGGGCAGGTTGCTAAGGGACTTGATGGCCTTGGGCTGCAGCACCTTAAGCTTGTCTGTCTCCTTGGTCCCGGACTCGCTGCCCTCGGTCAATGAGTCAGGTGTCGGCGGCGGTGACGCAAACTTTACCTGAAATTAATAAAAATAGGTTCTAATAATCTAAACTTACCAATAATTGTAATAAGATAATTTTTATTCAATAGTGCACTATGTGTATGTTGTGTACGGACCTGCTTGTTTGTCTCCTCCTGCTTGCGCATGATGGCGGCCATAGCGATGTTGATGCGCGCCTTGCGGCCCTCCTTCTTGTCCTCGCTTTTGCTGCTCTCTTCTTCAATTTCCTACACAACAAATGGTATATAAATGTTTATTTAAATTACGTTTTTATATTAATATCCATTAAAGGTTATGTACCAGAGGCAAAAGTTCCTCTTGCACGATGGCGCGTTCCTCCCGCGCCCGCTCCTCACGCGCGCGCTCCAGCGACCCCTGCGGCTTCAATATGCCCACGCGTTTCTCCCGCACTGCATACAAAACAACTTTTATTTTATTGCACTACTATGTAAAGAAAATATGTGTCTTTTGTAATGTGTTTTATTTCCTTCTGACCTTTCTCCCTAAAGTCAGCTTCTGATATAATGATGGGCGGTGGCGGGGGCGGGGCCTCGTCTTCACTGTCGTCGGCCCCGCCCCCCGCAGCGCCGCGCCCCACCCCCATCTCCGCGGCGGCGCTCAGCTCGGCCAACGCGCGCCGCAGCTGCTCCCCGCCCACAGCTGACGCACTGAACCGTACCGTACCGTCTTCCCCGCTATTACAAACATTAAATTAACAAGAATTCTTTATTATATGTGTTCATTTCTTTAAACAAAATCTGCGTTAAGTTTCTTCCGAGGCATAAAGGTACTAAGTACTTACGTTTCGCATGTAAAATGTTCGGCGTGCTGCTCGGCGAGCTGTTTGCCGAGTGCGACGAGCCTGTGTGCGCGCACCTTGTCCTCCAGCTCGGGCTCGCTGCTGAAGCACGAGGCCGCGATACTCGAAGGACTTCTGCGAACAGAACAAAACAACATTATAATTTAGAAATGATTTAGACGACTCCACTATAATACGTCAAGTCCAAATTTTTTTGTGTGCCTTTGGTAACAACTAACCCTGTGTCGCCGTCTTGTCCGGTGTCAATGTCCGGCAGTCGGCCGCCGTACGTGTCCCACGTGGTGTGGTACGAGAACTTGAGACCTTTAAAAGCTTCCTCTAAGGGCAGGAACCCGTGCAGTTCCTCATCTTCAGGCAGGGGCACCGTGTCGTCTGCATAGAATAGTTTACAAAAATAAAAAATATTAAC